AGACAGAGAGAGAGAGAGGCAGAGGGAGAAGCAGGCTCCCAAGGAGCAGGGAGCCCGATGCGGGACCCGATCCCAGGACCCTGGGATCATGACCTGAGCCGAAGGCAAACGCTTAACCATCTGAGCCACCCAGGCGCCCCAGTTTCTAAGTTTAAATGATTTTTCATTTCATTGTTTTCTGTATAGGAATTTTTATTACATTTTTTTTGGAAAAGGTAATCCGTTGGGAAGTTTTCCTCGCATCCTTGCTTCTGTCCACTCTGCTTTCCTCCTCTCCTAATACTACCAGTTAGAGTTTAAATTAGCTAAAATGTAAAACTCAGCTCCTCGGTTGCCCTGGGCACATTTGGAGTACTCAGTATTCCCACGTGGCTGCTCCGTGGCTCTGTGGGAGAGCACAGGTGTCATGGTTTCCATCTTTGCAGAGATGGACAGTGATGCCCTAACACATAGCAGGCACTCACTGGAAATGGAATTGTTTTCAGTACTTTGTGCAGAGAGCTGAGCTTGGTGCTCTCCTCTCCTCTATCCACGGATCCCCAGACGGCCCAGTGAGACAGACACATCTATCATCTCATTTTACAGAGGACACTGAGGCCCAGCGAGACGAGTCACCTGCCAGAGGACACAGAGCTGGGACTCGGAGGAAGTCAGCTAGAGACTGGTCCCTTCCTCGACGGCGCTGCCCCGCTCACTCTCTCCCCAGGATGGAGGCAACGCCAGTCCCCAACGCCAGCCCCAGCCCCACCTATCCCCCTCTGTACAAAGTCCTTGTCCCCAGGAAATTGTATATAAATCATCCTTTTCTACCAGCTCTGGCCAGGCCTGTCTGTAGATGGGACAGGGTGCGGGCGGGGCATTTTGGGTGTGAGTCCGGGTTTTTCAGTTAATGCGATGTTTCATCCAGTACCGGTTTTCTGAGACCTCCCGGGGCGCAGAGCCAGTGCGCGGCGGTGCTGGGACCCAGACCGCGTCAGAACCCGCCCTTGTCGGGGCTCCTGATCTACGGGGGAGAAGACACAGGACCCAGGGCGCCTCATTGGCGTTCTAATGGCAGCAGTACAGGCATTCCGGGAGCCCGGGCGGGGCGGGGCGGGGGGGGCGGTGGGGGGCGGGGGGGAGGTTGGGTACCTGACCCAGCCTGGGATCCTGGGAGGCGCTCAGGAGTAAAGGACTCTTGAGCCAAAAAGCCCTGGGGCTGTGACAGGCCAGATTTTAGAAGGTGGGGCTGGAGGGGAGGACATCCGAGGCAAGGGACACAGCCGAAGCGAAGGCCTAGAAGCCATCTGGAAGTCATTCCCTCATACACTCTTGGATCTCATTGGGAAAACTACTTCCGCCTGTTTTACAGATGGGGACACTGAGGCCCAAACAGGGCCGGGAGTTCGGCCAGGTCACAAGGAGGCAGCACAGGCACCGGAATCCTTTTAAGCCTAGACTGAGCGCTTGACAGGGAGCCCACTTGCCCCCTGCGGGCCACCACGTGCCCTGCAGCCTGCTGTCGCTTTAGCGGGTGACGGCGCTTCCCCCCACCGCAGAAAGCCTGGTAACCCCCGAGAGGGAGCTTAGCAGCCCCTCAAAAATATGGCGGCCCAGGCTGGCCAGCCCCGCCCTAGCAGAGCCGCTTCCTACCCCACGTGATCTCTCGCCCCGCACAGCAATGGCTGCCTAAGAGCCGATGGGAAAGATTGGACCCGGATTGGACAGTCAGAAGACGACCCGCCTCCTAGCGGGGCCCCTCTGCGCACGCGCAAGACACTTAGGCCAATGAAAAGACGGGAAGCTGCCCGCACAGCCCATGCGGCGTCACTTCCTCCGCCCCTGTTTCAAGGGATAAGAAACCCTGCGCCGAACCTTCCTTCTTTCCCAGGCGGCTGCCGAAGATGGCGGAGGGGCAGGTGCGGGCTCCGCGCGGACCGGGGAGGCGTGGGGCTGGGTGGGTTCCAGGCCGGACCGAGATTGGGCCCTGTTTCCCCTCGTTGGTGTGTTGTGAAACCTAAACTCAGTAACTGAGCAAAATGAGAAGCTTTGGGCCTAAAAGGAGTCTGCAACGGGGGAATACGAGATAACTAGGACGGTTTTTTGGCCCGGGGCTGACTAAAATGCGGCATGATCCCTTCCTTAGGGGCGATTTGGGCGTCTCCCAGCACGGGGAGAGTTACTTTAAAATTAGGCCTCGCTTGCCTTTGTCTCGGCCCGGCGTTGGCCGAATCGGGGCTGTGTGTCCCTAGCGACGGGGAAGCGCGCGGAAAACGCCTGGGCTGCCTCGGGGCGCTGGGAAACCGGGGACTGGCCAAAATGGAGGGCGCTCCCGCTGTACCCAAGGCGCGCGTCGCTTCACCCTCGTGGGAGTGTTAATCCGTGTCCTGCAGCTCTGGACGCTTTGGTAGGAAATCTTACGCGTTGGGGGAGCGTTCCTGCCTCCAGGACATCCAGGAACGAATTGCTCTTCCCTTGTTCTTTGGGGTGACGGATACTTTATAAAGGCCAGAGGACTGATAAAAGGCTCCACTGCCCTTAACCACCTGAGGGCCCTCGAGGGACACAGTAGAAGCTTAGCTCCGAGTCCCTGGATCCCTGTTCTAATTTCTAATATGTAAAGGAGGGGATGGCTCGGGAAAGGGTGTCCGTGTGAATTTCGTCGTGAGTCTGAGCGGTAAGGAAAGGAAAAGCACGTTTGTGGAGTCAGGAAGGTGGTAAGGTTCTTGGAACACGTGTTTTCTGCGTTTACTGTGTGCTTGACACAGTTGGCTTTATATTTGGGGTCATTCGGTTAGCTACCATAATATTCCTGAGGCAGATACTGTTACCCTCATCTTCCAGGTGACGAAGCTGGAGAGTTTTAAGCCAAAGTCACATTGTCAGGAAGTCTGGCTTTAGATTCTATACCCTTCTGCCTTCAGCAATCACAAGTATATAATGAGCGCTCCGTAAGAGAGGGAACTTGACTCGTGGTGAAGAAGCTGAGGATTTGGTATTGAGCAGTTCAGCCAGGGATGCAGAGCTAAATTCAGCATAAGCTACCGCACAGGCTCCTGACTACTCCACAGAGCCTCACCCACTCTGAACCTGTTTTCTTTATTAATCATCTTATGCTGGAAACTTTTACCCTTGAGAGAATTGGCCTGTTGGAATTCCACAACTTTCGTATCAGGGATTATAAATTCTAACTGGATCAATGGACAGAGTCTTGCCAGCCTTTGTTCAAATCCCAGCTCACCCTCTCACCCTTGAATGTAATCGGGGCTTAAGAATTCTGGCCCTTAAGGCAGTGAGATGTGAGGAATGGCTTTTGTATTATTCCTTGCACCGAAATAGCCATTTGCTTTCTTGGCCACATCTGTACAGTGGACCTTGGGTCTTAGTTTCCAGGCCTCCTAATGAATAGGAGGCACTCTGCGGGAGACAGGGAAAGAAGTAAAAAGCAACTGTTGGTTAGGGTGAGGAGTCAAAGCTGAGGGTGTGTCTTAAGCCTTTTCATTTTATTTCCACCAGGTCCTGGTGCTTGATGGCCGAGGCCATCTCCTGGGCCGCCTGGCGGCCATCGTGGCCAAACAGGTGCTTCTGGGTAAGTCTGCTCTGTCCACAGCTCCCCTGGGTGTCATTCCCAGCCGGCGGTCAGTGATGAGCAACAGTCACCATCTTTCGTTTGAGTCTCACGACCGTGAGATAACCCCATGCACCGCTCTGAGACCTTCCAGCTTCTCCCTCTCCTGGGGTCTGGGGCTCTGAGATGAAAAATCCTTTCCTGTCGGGCTGTTAATTTAAGCACAAATCCAGCTCTGCTGGGGCCTTGGCTTTCTTGTGCGTTGTGGTCAGCTCCACACAGGGGAAGAAACCCTGTTTCCAGCCTTAAGCAGTAACCGGGCAGGTGGGTAATGGCCAGTTTGTAGGTAGAGCCCTTGGGTGGCTTCATAGCCTTTGTCCTTGTTTGCCTTACTTTTCTCTTCCTCTAGGCCGGAAGGTTGTAGTCGTGCGCTGTGAGGGCATCAACATTTCTGGCAATTTCTACAGAAACAAGTGTAAGTTAGGACCTGGGAGGAGAGCTGGAGAGGGTGGACCTGGGAGATTGGCAGCCTTCATTGGCTCCACAAGTGAGCCCACTAGTGGTGGGAAGTGCTCATTTGCGTTCCCTAACAGGCACTTGGGAGTATGGATGTGTGTGTTGAAGAAGTTAGCATGTGGCTGGGGTCTGAGGCCTCGCACCCTCTCTCTCCCCAGTGAAGTACCTGGCCTTCCTCCGCAAGCGCATGAACACCAACCCATCCCGTGGCCCCTACCACTTCCGAGCACCCAGCCGCATCTTTTGGCGGACAGTGCGAGGTGAGCTGGGCCTGAGGACCACCCGGTGGATGGGTGGCCAGTGATGAGGACTTCTCCCACTTGTGTTCGAGTTCCCTGACCATGAGATGACTCCACATGCACTACCATCTGAGGCCACCAGTGTGCCGGGGGTGGGGGGCGTGGGGGGCGGGGTCCTCATGAGCCCCACGGAGCAAGCCTGTTGTCCCTCCATCCACAGGCATGCTGCCGCACAAGACCAAGCGAGGCCAGGCTGCCCTGGAGCGCCTCAAGGTGTTTGACGGGATCCCGCCGCCCTACGACAAGGTGAGCTCCAGGACCGTCTGCGCAGCATTTGTGTCTGGCGTCCGTGATGTTGCAGTTATACCTACATTGTTTGACCCTCATGAGAACAGCACTGGCTGAGACGCTATTCCAGCCAGCCTTCTTCCCTGCCTGTCCCTTACTCCAGGGCTCTTAAGCCCCTCTCCTTCTCTAACAGAAAAAACGGATGGTGGTTCCTGCTGCCCTCAAGGTGGTGCGCCTGAAGCCTACACGGAAGGTAAGTTCCAGGTTTCACTGAGTCATCTCACTAGGGGGCGAACTTGAGCCCTGAGACTGGCAGATGATGGTTCTTTCTCACGATGGTCTGCGGATGCCACTGCGGGCAGTGCCGATAATGCCGATGGCTCAGCTGATGCCAGCAGGAGCAGGGAGCCCCCAGGGTGGCTGTGTCTTTAACTTGGGCCTGCTGGGGAAAGTTGGGTCACCTAGGACAGCTTGTCTGCTCCCTGTCCCACAGCCACCCTGGCTCTGCTTGCTTAGGACTTCTTCTCCCTCCCCCACAGTTTGCCTACCTGGGGCGCCTGGCTCACGAGGTTGGTTGGAAGTACCAGGCAGTAACAGCCACCCTGGAGGAAAAGAGAAAGGAGAAGGCCAAAATCCATTACCGGAAGAAGAAGCAGCTCATGGTGAGGATGGCCTGGAACCCGAGGGCACCACGCTCCTGGGCAGGGCCTTGCGGGTGAACTCTCTGGACACAGTGGTCTTTGTTTGGTCCTGGAGGCCTCTACTTGAGGCCCGCCTTGGGACGGGGAGTAGAATTGGGTTCCTGGGGTGATGAAGGTTCTGGGTAGCAGCCATTGACCACCATCTGTCCTCTTCACCCCACAGAGGCTACGGAAACAGGCCGAAAAGAATGTGGAGAAGAAAATCGATAAATACACAGAGGTCCTCAAGACCCATGGACTCCTGGTCTGAGCCCAATAAAATTGACTGTTTATTCCTCATGCTTGGCCTGGCCTGCCCTTCCTCCATCGCCGCCCTAGGATATGGGGGACCCCCAGGGGCCGCTGTCTGGAGCCACAGGCAGCCTGGGGCTTAGAATGCTGGGAACACAGAAAGGGCTTTAGTCACTGCTGTTAATTCAGAAGGGCCTTCTTAAAAGGTTAAACTCTAAGAGCTTTGAGGCATTATTGCCTGTAACCTCATTTCTGAGAGTTATAAGAAGTTGA